CCCTTCCAAAAAGTTCACAGAGCCTCAGGAGCTCTCGGCAGCCCCACGGGACCGTCCAGGTACTCTCTTGGAGGCCCCATTGGACCGTCTCTACGGCCCTGCCGGGGGTCCAGCACAAGAAGCCAGAAGACCTCGAATACGGCCAGAGAAAGGCCCCGAAGACCTGCCCGAGAGGGGAGGAGGCTCCCAAGAGGGGCCCAGGAGGCCCACCCCCCAAGAGGGGGAGCTTGAACTGCGGCTCGATACCCTCCACCGAGACAATCAGCAGGCCCTCGCCAGGCCCCGGGACCGTCGACAAAAAACGACTCAGGACGAAAAGCTGGCCCTGGGGAAGTGGTCGGGACTCCTGAGGACCTTGTATAGAGCCAATCGGCGCGTCGGATGAGCCGACCGTATGCCGCGTCCGCCGCCCCTCCTCCTCCCGTCCTCCCGCGCCACTGAAACCCAGCCATGCGACGTCCTGATTGTTTCGACACGGGGTCCTTGGAAGTCCCGACCCTTTTCCCGGGACCGGTTTCTCATCCTGAGTCGTTGTTTGACGGTCCCGAGGCCCGGCGAGGGCCCCTCCGAAGCCGACAACGGCCGAAAACCTCCCGTCCTGAGCTGTAGTACTCGAAGATTCCCCCCCGGTGCGCGCCGAGTCTGGTTTTCGGGTCATTGCTCAATCGGGGCGATCCAGGCACCTCTGGATGGCCCGTCGGCGAGGCGCAGCTGCTGGAGAGCACTCCGAGACTGGAAAAGCCTCTGGGAACCGACGCACACGCCGGAAAACGTCGAACCTCCCCCCTCTGCGCGCCGCCCTCTCGGCGCGCCGCCGAAATTTGAGACATCTCCCTGGGAGCAGGCGCCCTCGGCCCTGCTGCGGCCTCCGCGGGCCTCTTCCCGCCCCCCCCCCTCCTCCTCCTCCTCCTCCTCCTCCTCCTCCTCCTCCTCCTCCTCCTCCTCCTCCTCCTCCTCCTCCTCCTCCTCCTGCTGGCTGCGGGCGTGGCGCCCCCGCGCCAGCATCCGATGTATGTATTCATTGTCTGATCCCGCGGGCCCAAGAGGTCTCGACCCCACCCCTGGGGGCAGCTTCCCAAATCTCCGACGAGTCTTTTTGTTACCAGCCGAGGCGCTGTTCCTCTGGTTCTTCCCCTGGGGCCCCTGTATCGGGCCCCAGGGCCGTCAAAAGCGACCCAGAAAGACCAGTCCCGGCGAAGTCTAGACCTCCAGGGGGGCCCACGTCGTGACAAAATCACGACGTCGGAGTTCTGGGAGCGATGCCGTCCAGTGCCAGGAGAAGGAGGAGGATGAGGAGGAGGAGAAAGAAGGAGGAGGCAAAGGCTTGCCCTGCACTCACCTCCTCGCTGCCCCAGCCCACCTCCCGCTGCATCCCCGGCCCAGGGTCGTCGGGCCGGCCGCAAGTCCAGCATGCCTAGTGGCCGCCCGGCCTGACCGCAAACCGGCCAACGGGCCGCCTTGCCCTTCCCCCTGCCGTTTGGCCCCGGCGATCCGAAGCTCTTGAAGAATCGAGCGCGCGCGGCCCATTTGGGCTATTTCCGGCCTCTGGGGGCCCCTGGGGGCCCTCAACGGGCCCCGGGACCGTGAAACGCGACTCCGGATGAAAAGCCGGCCCGAGGGAAGTTGTCCAGACTGGGGTCCACGCCTCGAGCAAATCCTGGAGCGCCAGCGCGGAGCGCCGAGGGGAGACGTTCGACCTTCTCTGCCGTCTTCGTCGGTCCCCGGAGGTCATCCGGCCTCGGGGTGCTTCCCAGCAGCTGCGCCTCGCCGACGGGCGTTCCCAGGGGTGCCCCGGCTCGTCCCGAACGGCCGCCAGACGGCCGAGTCCCGACGCGAGCACCACATCGGCGGCGCGCCGGGGGGGGGTTGGAAGTGAGAGGGGGCAGGCCCTCGCAGAGTGCGCCCTGTGGCATCGGAGCAGGCTGGACGAGAGCCTGCGGACGAGGCCCCGATCCTCCTTCTGGTCCTCTTCCCCCGCCTTCGTCGTGGGCGCGCCTGCGCTCCCACTGGACCTCTTCGGAACGCCAGCGTGTTTTGGCAGCTGGCTGGTGGAGGGTGGCCTTAAGGTCAGCCAGTGATGAACTTTGGCATCCCTGAGTCGCGCTCATAATGTGACTCACCGGCCCGTACCACGGACCACGTTTGGCTCCAACTTCGATCCTGCCAACTCACCGAGCAAATACAATGCGTGCTGCCATTGCCCGCCTTTCTCGCAAGCGCTAATTCCAGAATTGTAACTGACGGTGCTCGGCTCTAAATCCGCGCCCCAAATCTCGCTGAGCAGCAGCATAGCTTTCTGCCACTGCTTGCCCTTCCCACATGCGTTGATGACAACATTGTAGAATATGGTGCATAACTGCGCGCGCGATCTCGAAACGTCTCGAAACAGTCTTAATGCCTCACTCCACTGTTTCGTCTTCCCGCATTGTTTGACGACCTCTGTGAGTGAAGCAGTGACTGTTCCAGATCCCGACTGCCCCACCTTCCAGGGCGTCTGCATCGCACACAAATTCTCAGATTTCAGATGGTCAGAGCCGTACGGGCTGCGTGGGGTAGCTGGGCAAGCAGGGGCAGCTGTATAAAACAGAAGGAAGGTGAAGAACACCACACCATACAAACAATATCGTCGATGTCATCGTCCTCGTGCTCCTCGTATTCATGGTCATCCTCCTCTTCTTCCTCCTCCTCCTCCTCCTCCTCCTCCTCTTCCTCCTCCTCCTCCTCTTCTTTCTCCTCCTCCTCCTCCTCCTCCTCCTCCTCTCCCTCTCCTCTCTCTCTCCTCCTCCTCCTCCTCCTCCTCCTCCTCCCTCCTCCTCCCCTCCTCCTCCTCTCCTCCTCTCCGGGTTACGTCCTCATCCTCGTCCCCGTCCTCGTCCTCGTCCTCGTCGTCTTCGTCGTCGCCCTCGTCCTCGTCCTCGTCCTCGTCCTCCTCCTCCTGCTCCTGCTCCTCCTCCTCACCCCCTCCTGCTCCTCCTCCTCCTCCTCCTCCTCCTCCTCCTCCTCCTCCTCCTCCTCCTCCTCCTCCTCCTCCTCCTCCTCCTCCTCCGTCTCCGCATCGCCAGCTCAGACCCAGCGGCGTGCGGGCCGCCTCTGCGAGCACACGCCCAGAGGCCCCGCCGCCGCCTTTCCTTCGGTATGATGTGGAAGGTTAGCATGAAAGAAACGGGTCCTGTGGGAAACGGGTCCTGAACCCGGGGGCATTCCCAAAGATCCGAAGCTCCGAAAACATTGGAGCGGCCGGCTTTTGGGTATTTGCAGCCTCTGGAAACCCACAACAGGCCCTGGACCGTCAAAACCTAACTCAGGATAAAAAGCAACAGGGAAGTTGTCCACACCTCCTGGGGCCCACGCATCGAACAACGTTGGAGCGACAGCTGTCTGGGTTTCCTCAGAGCCAACTCTTCATCCAGAGTCGTTTTCCGACAGTCCCAATGCGCGTGGAGCGCCCCAAGGGCCCCAAAACGGCGAAAGGTCTCCGGACCCATCCCTGACTCCGGATCCGCCGTACTTTGGGCTTTGAGCGATGTCGTGAGTAAGGCGGAAAAGGTCGCCCCACTCTTCAAGCTCCTTTGATGCCGATTTCCCCCCAGCTTTTTCCGCCATTGCTTCCGCCATACCTTTACAAATACATCCGCCCCATGTTCCGAGGCCGGAATTTCCGCCCGACTCTTTCGAACCGTCTCAGGTGCATGTCCGACACAGTCGTAAGCCGGGAAATCGAACAAAAGGCGGCGGATCTGGACTACGGGTGAGTCGTTTTCTGACAATCATTGGGCCCGTGGGGTGCCCCGCGAGCTCGAGAACGGAGAAAAACCTCGGGACCCGTTCCCCTCGGGACCCGTTCCCAGACATCCGGCGCTCCAATCCGATCCAGGGCTCGTTGAGGGCCCTCGCAGGCCGAACATGGCCGCTGCTCGATTCTTTCGTAATCTCGAATCTCTGGATGATGATGGTGATGATGATGGTGATGATGGTGGTGGTGATGATGATGCTGATGATGCTGATGATGCTGATGATGCTGCTGATGCTGCTGATGATGATGATGGTGGTGATGGTGATGATGATGATGGTGATGGTGGTGGTGGTGATGATGATGATGATGAATTTTTCGGAACCTCGGATCTCTGGTTTTTTGGGCGAGGAGGGGTTGCCTTCCCCCCCTTGCCGGTCGGCGGCTGAGAGCACGAGGCCTTGGCTGGCCAGGCCAGTGCGCGCGCCGCGCAGGTGCTGCCTGGACGGAGAGTTGGTTTTCAGCGTGAATTGAACTAATCTGCGCAATGTGTTTAACGCAATGCTTTTAAGGCTGTGATCTTACGCAGTGCTTTTAACGCGTTGTGCTTTCAACGCAGTGTTTTGTTACGCAGTTGTTGTTTGTCTTTTCCTTGTAGCAGCGTTTGTTCAACGCAGTGTTTGTTCAACGCAGTGTTTGTTCAACGCAGTGTTTTGTTGACGCAGTGTTTCTTTTTGCGCAATGTCGTTTACGCAATTTGTTAAGCCCAATGTTTTTAACACAGTGTGTGTTTTACGCCGAGCATGTTACGCAGCGTTTTGCGATGCAGTGCTTTTTTTATACGTAGTGTTTGTTTACGCATGTTTTTCTTCGTAGTGATTTCTATGCCGTATTTCCTGGTGGTGCTTTACGCTATGTGTTTGAGCAACCGCCTTTTAATCGTCGTTCTTGGAGGCGCACGCTAGAACACTGCGTAGAAAACACTGCGTAGAAAACACTGCGTAAGTGGGTTCCGCGATTCGGGCCCGGCTTTCGGGCTTCGGTCTTCTGGCTTCGGATTTCGAATTGTGGGGTTCCGCGTTTCGGCCCGGCTTTCGGGTTTCGGTTTTCTGGCTTCGGATTTCTGGTCTTTTGGGTTCCGTGTTTCGGGCCAGCTTTTCGGTTTCGATTCTCTGGCGTCGGATTTCCGATGTGTTGGGTTCCGCGTTTCGGGTTGGCTGTCGGGTTTCGATGTTCTAGCTTCCAATTGTTTTGGTTCCGCTTTTCGGGCCGGCTTTCGGTTTTCAATGTTCGGCCTTCGGATGTTCGATGTTATTGGTTCTGCGTTTCGGGCTGGCTCTCGGGTTCGATAGTCTGGGATTTTCAAGCTAAGGGTTTCGGTTTGCGGGCTTCGCGTTTCAATCTTGAAATTTGCAACGTCTGATATAGTGCTTAATAATACGCCTAGTACAGCGCCGAGTACAGAGCCTATTGCAGCGCCAAGTACAGCACCTAGTATAGCGCCAAGTACAGCCCCTGATCGTGCGGCGCACTACGTAGAAAGCGCTACGTAGAAAACACAACGTAGTAGAAAACACACCGTAGTAGAACACACGACGTCGTAGAAAACTCTACGTAGTAGAAAGCTCCGCGTAGAAATCTCGATGTAGTAGAAAGCACTACGTAGTAGAAAATACTGCGTCGTAGAAAACTTTACGCAGCAAAAAGCATGGCGGAGTATAACATACTACGTGGTAGAAAACACTACGTAGTAGAAAACACTACGAAGTAGAAAGCACTACTAATAGAAAACACTACGTAGTAGAAAGCACGATGTTGAAAACACGACGTAGAGAACACGACATAACAAAACTCAAAACACGACGTATCAAGCACTACGTTTTAACATGCTACGTGAAAAGAACACTGTGTAAGAGTTCGATTTCGAAATCACGATTAAAACTTCGATTTCACGAGTCAGAGAAACCCTTGGCCTGGAGGGGTGCGAGGCCTGGCGCATGGAGGTTGACGCGCCTCAAAGCTGGGCGAGACCACTCCTGCCACTCCTCCTCCTCCTGCTCCTCCTGCTCCTGCTCAATCTCGCCCCCTCCTCCCCTTCCCATCCCTCCTCATTATCCTTCCCCTCCTCCTCCTCCTCCTCCTCTTCTCCGTCTCCCTCTCCTTCTCCTTATCCTCGTCCTCCTCCTCCTTCCTCCCCATGCCCTCCTCATCCTCCTCTACCTCCCCCCACTCCTCCTCCTCCTCCTCCTCCTCCTCCTCCTCCTCATCCTCCTCCTCCTCCTCCTCCTCCTCCTCCTCTACCTCCCCTACCACCTCCTCCTCCTCCTCCCCCTCCTCCTCCTCCTCCTCCTCCTCCTCCTCCTCCTCCTCCTTTACCTCCCCTACCTCATCCTACTCCTCCTGCTCCTGCTCCTGCTCCTGCTCCTCCACCTCCTCCTCTCCTCCTCCTCCTCCCCTTCTCCTCCCCTTCTCCCCCCCTTCATCATCCTCCCTCTTCATGCCCTCCTCGTCCTCCTCTACCTCACCAACCTCCTCTCCTCCTCCTCCTCCTCCTCCTTCCTCACCTTCTCCTCCCCCTCCTTTACCTCCTCCTCCTCCTCCTCTTCCTCCTCGCCACTTACCTCCCCTACCTCCTCCTCCTCCTCCTCCTCCTGCGCTCGTAACCGACGATGTCTCTGATCCTAGCCGCTACTACCTCTACCTCTACCCACGCCGCCGATTCCGCTGCCCACGGGCCTTGCTGCCGCAGGAGCACGGGTGGCTGAAGAAGTCGTCGTGGCGGGAGCTCTCTGTCGTTCAGGCGGGGAAGAAGGGGGGGGGGGCACAGCAGCGGCAGACGCGAGAGCCTCGGGAGAGGGGCGGACAGGAGCGGGGGGATGGCCAAAAGGATGGGCCTCATGCTGACTGGGAGCACAGGCGCCCCAAGACCTGAGGGCGGAGGCGCGGAGTTGGGGAGCAATCGCGGCAAGATCGCTGACCGAAAGGGGGGGGGGGGGGGGGGATAGTTCCTAGCCAGGGTGTACACATAAAACGAGGCAACTAGATACACGAAATTGGAAGGAGAAGGGGAGCTAAGACCCAGACGAGAGAGAATGTCTTCGGGGGGCGGGTGGCTAGTTAATTCCCCTACTGTGGAGATCATAATAGGACATACTAAATAATGAGCCTGACTGTCACAACTGGCACATCCGAAAATACAGCTTTTCTGCTTCTGCTGGAACCTAGAATCTGTAGCCCAGCCTCCGGCCAACGTCTTGATTATGGCCATTCGCCACGGCGGCGGTGCGGCACGAGCCGCCGCCTGCGCATCTGGCCACCGAATGCGTTGGATCGCTGCGAGCTCGATATGGGGGAGGAGGTGGGAGAGGCGGCAGGCGAAGGTCGAGGCGAGGTCCGAAGGGAAGAGAGAGGAGGTCCAAACAGCGGCTGCAGCACGCTGAATCTTCTTTCCCTCGAGCATGGCCTGCTGCGCGGCTTGGAGCGCAGCTGCTCCTGCATTCCTGTACTTGGTGGCGGGAAAACCCTGTGACGCCGCTTGCAGGTGTTGCACGAATGGAGGCTCCTCCCAAAATTCGGGAGACATGCGGCCCTTTCCTACGTCTTCGAGTGAAAGATAGACTCCAGCCTCCTGAAGTCTGTCGAACTGCTGCCGCCATGCATGGAACGTGCTTAAAGACGCTCGAATAAGCGACGCCAAGGAAACAACAAGGGCACTCCTGATGCGAGGGCCTCCCCAGGACTCGAGATTAAAGTAGTCACGCCTCGGGAGG